TAGACCAAGAAAGCCCAAATGCTAATTTGACTGGGTGAACTTCCTTGAAGAGGTTTAGAATATTTAACCCTCCAAGAAGCCACCTTGTGACGTTGGTTTAATCATTAACACCCCATGCATAGAATAACGGGCACAGAATAATCCAGAAGGGGCATCCCATATCCATGTCGTTCCCGTCTTATGACCTCAGCGGGGGCCAGGATTTCTGTTAATAAGCCTGGCAGTTGTTAAGCGAGTCACGCCTGATTTTACAAACTTTTGCTAAGCCAATCACCGAGGTCGTTAAAGTGCATTGAGGTCATTATGCAAATCCCAAATGAACTTCTGCTTCCTGGAGGCTCTTGGGAACGTTGCCAGGGGTGAGCACAGGACAGACACATGGATGCTGCCATTGTCACGCGGAGACTCTGGAAAGAGTGCAGAGAAGAGCCACAGAGATGATCAGGGGACAGGGGGTGTTTTAAATCTGTCTTCGGCCAAATGGTTTAATTCAGTTTTATTCTGTTTTTAAATTTTGTATTTATGTGTTTTTATCTTGTGGCTGTTCACCGCCCTGAGTCCTTCGGGAGTAGGGCGGTATACAAATCAAATAAACTAAACTGAGAGGCTAAAAGACGGGAAGGACCGTTTAGTGAACAGAAGGGCGAAGGGGCACACGAGAGCATCTTCCAATATTTGAGCGTTCATACCATTTCATAATTCCTGGGTAAGGCCACATCCAATTGCCTCCAATTTTGGTCGCCACAATAGAAAACAGATATTGAGATCTGGAAAGAGTGCAGAGAAGAGCAGCAGAGATGATCAGGGGACTGGAGACTAAAATATATGAAGAACGGTTGCGGGAATTGCATATGGCCAGTCTGGAGAAGAGAAGGACTGAGGGGACATAATAGCAGGGTTCCAGTATTTGAGAGGTTCCTACAAGGATGAGGGGGTCCACCTCTTCTCCAAAGCACCTGAGGGCAGGACAAGAAGCAACGGATGGAAACTCATCAAGGAGAGAAGCAACCTGCCATTAAGGAGGAATTTCCTGACAGGGAGGACAATTAACTTCACTGGGGTTTTTAAGAAGAGATTGGGCAACCATTTGTCTGCAGTAGTGTAGGGTTTCTTGCTTGAGCAGGGGGTTGGACTAGAAGACCTCCAAGGTCCCTTCCAACTCTGTTATTCTGTTCTGTTCATAAATTTGACTGTGTTTAGTATTTTATTTAAGCTTTTATCGCTGTTCAGTTTTTGCTTTTTAGGGTAGTAAGCTGCCCAGAGTTACCCTGAGGTATGGGTAGGATGGGTGGCCAATAAAATCTATAAATAAATAAATAAATGTCAGTCTCCAAGTGTCAGATTTTGATGCGACTGTCAGGATGCTATGACGGTCCTAAGTGTGAGGACCAGTTGTAAAACACTATTTCAGTGGCGTGGTGACTTTGAATGAACAGGAAAGGAACGGTTAAAAGTGTAATGACTACCAATATGGGAAGTCAAGCATCTCTCACGCTGCGGGATTACCGTTCCCAGCCAGCTAAAGGCTGAAGGAAAATCCTTTCAGATTGCCAAAGATCAGGGATCTCGGTCAAGAAGGAATCAATCCGTCACAAATGACTTTTGCAAAAGCCTGAACCTCAATAGTCTTAACAGAATACAGAATGACAGAGTTGGAAGGGACCTTGGAGGTCTTCTAGTCCAACCCCCTGCTTGGGCAGAAGACTTTAGACCAGGGGTATCCAACCTTGGCCACTTTTAAAGCTTGTGGACTTCAACTCCCAGAATTCCCGAGCCAGCTGGCTAGGGAATTCTGGGAGTTGAAGTCCACAAGCCTTAAAGTTGCCATGATTGGACACTCTCATCTGAAACCATTCCAGACAAATGGTTTTCCAAGCAGTTTTTCAACACTGCCGGAGTTGGTGCACCCGGAACTTCCAGAGGCCAGTGGTTCCACAGGTTAATTGTTCTCACTGTCAAGGAAATTCCTCCTTAATTCTAGACTGAATTTCTCTTCGAGGAACTTCAATTCCTTCCTTCCGTCCTATCCTGCCCTCAGGTGTGTTAAATTAATTAAAACCCTACAGTTCCAGAAGCAGCCAGATTTGCAATGCAAGTGGCCTACGAGTGAAATAAACTGGCCCTGGAGGTTGAATTCATCAGCTGGAACTGGGTGCAAATGCTCAGCTGGGTTGTTCCTTTTAATTGCTTTAGTCAATAATTACCATATAAGCTTGTGCAGGTATAACTGCAACAACCCAGGGCCACGTAATTGTCATTTATGACTTTCTCAGCCGGCTAATGACAAGCCAAGCCAAAGGGGGGGAAGAGCTGGATTCACTTAATGACCATGTGACTCACTTAATGACCGTGTAATTCACTTAACAGTGGCAAAAAAGGTCGTAAAATTAGGCACAATTCCCTTAACATCTGCCTTGCTTAGCCATGGAAATTTGGGTCCCAATTGTCATAAATCGAGGATTATCTGTATGTGCAAACTATTAAGGGATTTTTTTTTATCTCAATTTAAAAAAAAAAATCCCCACTCCCAGAGCTGCAAAAGACCCACAGCCTCGTTGCCATGGTTTCAGGATAAACGGACCAGCGGCTTAATTCACAGATCTGGAAGGGACCTCAAAGGTCATCTGTCCAACCCTTCCAAGGCAGGAAACCCCACAGCTCAGGAAAAAGGGCCTTTGTCCAAAACGGACCGAGGGTAGGAGCCTTCCCTCCAGATATGTCAGGTCTAGCCTTATACAGGTAGTTCTACACTTACGACAGTTCATTTACTGATGGTTTAAACTTACAACAGCACTGAAAATAATGACTTATGGCCGATTTTCACACTTACGACCAGTCAGAAGTCACTTTTTTCAGTGCCGTTGCAACTTTGAATGGTCTCTACACAAACTGTTGTAAGTAGAGGACTACCTGTAACCTCCTTTATAGACAGTCCTCGACTTACATCAATTCACTTAGTGACCTTTCTAAGTTACAATGGCACTGAAAAAAGTGACTTATGGCCGGTTTTCACACTTACGACCATTGCAGCATCCCCATGGTCACATGACCAAAATCCAGACGATCGGCAACTGGCTTGTATTTATGATGGTCGCAGTGTCCCAGGGTCACGTGATCCCATTTTGCGACCGTCTGCATCACTTAACATTCACTTAACAACTACGTCACTCACAAGTGCAGTCGTTCACTTAACAACTGGGGCAATAAAGGTCGTAAAATGGGGCAAAATTAACTTAATAACCGCCTCGCTTAGCAACAGAATATTTGGCCTCAACTGTGATCGTAAATTGAGGACTACCTGTCATCCCAGGCAACACCCCTTTCCCAAGACCGTCTTCAGAAAGGGGACAAATCCTGAAGCCACAGAAGGGACTCTTCTCAAGTTACAAAGACCCAACGGAGTCACAAATTCAGGGTCCTCCCCGGGAGCCTTGGCTGCCCGGAATAGCTACCCCCGAAAAGGAAAATCAAACGCAACTTTGATGAATAAATCCATAAAATAAATGACATTATTTCCAAGCCCAGCGGCTCTCCTTACTTGGAAGCCAGGGAAAAAAAATCCAGGGTGTGGCACCAGTAACCGGCTGTCACTTCCTTATCAGCTGCACGTATTTTACACAAAACACCCACAAAGGTGACCTGCTTTTCTCAAGTCGGTGGGCCTGGGTTCTCTTTTTCTTATTTTTAAACATTTTTTTTTGTTTTATTCAGAGAATTAAGATAAAATATCCCAACATTTTTGTTTTCACAGGAACAAAACAAAGATAGCCCAAAGCACTAAACAGGAAAGAAGACAATGTGCCACTCTTGTGTATAATGGGACCCTGGGGCCTGTTTTATTATCCATCCTCAAAGCAACTGGGGTTGCCCACCTTACTCCCTCTTCCAGGGACCAGCCTCTCTGGCAAGGAGAGAGCCCTCTGCGCATGCTCAGGGGCACCCTCTCCTCTTTCATTTATTGCAATTGGCATGCCACCCATCTCGCTCTCAAACGGCTCTGATGGGGTCCGAGGTTGCTTATGGGCAGGAGGGGGGATTTTATGCCCTTGGGGGGGGGGGGCCTCCCCCCCCCCCCCCCCCACACCCCCCCCAAAAAGGGGGCGCCCCCCCCCCCCCCCCCCCAGGGGTTTTTTTTTTTGGGAAGAAGGGGGGGGGGGGGGGGGGGATCTGCAGAGGCTGTGTGTGTGTGTGTGTGTGTGTGTGTGTGTGTGTGTGTGTGTGTCCCTGCCTGGTTGACCCCCTCCCCCAAGGGCACCCCAGGAGCGATGCACCCCCCAAAGCAGCCCCCCCACTTCTGCAATACGATCAGCCGAGACCCCAAGAGGCACTCTGCAGTGACCGGGGTGAGGGGGTGGGGGACGACTTTGGAGGACAAAAGGGGTGTTTGAAACCTCCCCCCCAGATTGTCCCCAGCCCCAAAAGTGGGGCCACAGGTCCCCCTCCCTCTCCTGGAAAGGGGGGGGGTCGTAAGGCCCCTTCCCCTCCCCAAAAGGGGGGAGTAAGATCTCCCTCCTCTCCCTCCATCACCCCGGGTCGTAAGGCCCTCCTCCCCTCTCCCAAAGCGGGGTATAAGGTGCCCCTCCCCCCAAAAAGGGGTAAGGCCCCCTCCCCTCCCTCTCCCCTTCCCCAAAAGGAGGGGGGTTAAGATCGCCCTCCTCTCCCTGTATTCGGGTCATAAGGCCCTCCCCTCCCCCAAAGAGGGGCAGCCCCCCTCCCCTCAAGACACTATAACGGGGTTCCGCTGCTGGGGAGGGGGAGCTGGGAGGAGCAAAGGGACCCCAGAGGTTTCCAAACGGGCCTGGAGGGGTGTGTGTGTGTGTCTCCTGCTTGCAGCCCTGAGGGGACGGGGGCGCCCCCAAGCAGCTGCCAGCAGAACACGCGATGGCAGCTGCGCCGCGTTCACACGTGACGCGCGTTTCTCCCCCCCCACGACACGCGTCCCGTCCCGTCTCCCCCCCCTCCACTCCCGGCCTTTCCTTTCCGTCCCCTTGGCGGCCTACCTGAGACGACGAGCGCCTCGTTCGGCCCCACCGTGTGGCAGTTCCCCATGGCGGGATCCGCTCGCCTCAGCTCGGCTCGGCCGCCGCCACAGCCGCCTCAGGGAAGCGCGGAGGCGGGGCTCCCGGCCACGCCCACTCACCGGAAGCGCGCGGGGCGGGCACTTCCGGCCGCGCCATCTTGGGCGCGGCTGAGGCGGCGGAGCTCCGCTCGCTCGTCCCTCCGGCCCGCCCTTCCCGAGGGTCGCCCCCCGAGGGGATTCCGGGGGAGGGGGCGCTTCCCCTCGCGGCCTTCTTCCCCCGGAGCGGCTCTGCCCACGGCATACAAATTGAATCCATAAAAGATACCATTTTCCTCGCTCTTCCTCCGAACCTGCCCATATTGAGGGGGTCCTTGGTGGTCTCGGTTATTAGAAACAGGCAGTCCTCGACTTACAACACTTCACTTAGTGACCATTTGAACGGCGCTGAAAAAAGCGGCTTGTTGTGACCAGTTTTCACACTTAACGACCGGCGCAGCATCCATCCCCGCAGTCACGTGATTTACATTCGGATGCTGGACGGCTGACTCACATTTATGACGGCCGCGGGGGTCACGGGAGCCCCTTTTTTGCGAGCTCCTGACGAGCAAAGTCAATGGGGAAGCCGGGTTCACTTAACAACCGTTGTTGCTCATTTTAACATCTGCAGGGATTGACCTAACAACGGTGGCAAGGAGTCGTAAAACGGGGCAAAACTCAACGCATTTCTCACATAAATTTTGGGCTCGATTGGTCATAAATAAGTTGGGAACTACTTGTATTTTCTTGAGGGTGGAGGTTTTATTTGCTTGCAGACCTTTCATCCCCCAACTAGGGAACGTCATCAGGGTGAGGAGGAGGACTGTGGGGTCTTTGGTCCTCTGAGCTTTTTTTTTTGTTTTCTTGCAAACATTTCACTGCCCAAACTAGGGAGCATCCTCAAGGCAAGTCCTCAAGCCTTTTGGGTCAACATTTTGGTCACTGATGGGGAACGACGCGCGGCGGGGCGGGTGGGGGACCCGGGGGCAATGGAGGGGGTCGAGCTTGTTCGGACTGTGTTTTTACCATCAGTACTGTGAGTGGGAGGGGTAGATATGGCGGGAGCAGGGGGCCATATCATGTTAAGGGAGCACGCACCCGCTGTCTCCAAGCGGTAGGGTGCTCCGGCCCCCAAGGCTCCACCCGTTTGCCAGGTTGCACAGATCCTCAGGGCCCGGGCCTTCGTCTGATGTTGTGCAACGCCAGGTCCGTAGTAAATAAAGCCCCCCTCATCTGTGATCTTGTTCAGGAGGGGGGAGCGGACCTGGTGGGTATTACGGAGACCTGGTTGGGCCCGGAGGGAGGGGTCCCTCTGGTAGAAATGTGCCCACCAGGCTTCCGTGCATTCCATCAGCCGAGGTCACAAGGGAGGGGCGGGGGAGTAGCGGTTATTATTAGAGAAGGCCTTAGGCCCAGGGAGACCACTGTACCTCAGACAGCTGGTTGTGAGTCCCTCCTTGTGAAGTGGGGCCATGGGGTTCAGATGGGCTTGCTGATAACGTACCTGGCTCCCTGCCGCGTGGCAGCAACCCTGCCTGAGCTACTCAACGTTATTGCTGCGGTGGCGGTTGATACCCCCAGACTTAGGTCATGGGGGATTTCAACCTGCCGTCCGTGGGTGAGACGTCTGAGGTGGCTTGGGAGTTCATGGCTTCCATGACGGCCATGGATCTGACCCAACTAATTCATGGCCCTACGCACACTGGGGGAAACACACTGGACTTGGTTTTTGTCTCTGGACAGTGGTTGAGTGATCTTGAGATAGGGGATGTAGTCATCGAGCCCTTGTCATGGTCGGATCACTCTCTCCTTCGCCTTGACCTTCGTACCGCGGCACCCCGCTGCAGGGAGGCGGAACCGATAAGATGGTACCGCCCCAGGCGCCTGATGGAACCCGATAGGTTCCAGACGGAGCTTGGGCCAATTCCTGAGGTTCTGGCTCACGCCTCGACTGGAGACCTAGTGGCCGCCTGGGATAGGGCGGCCGCTGGGGCCCTGGATCGAGTCGTGCCTTTGCGGCCTCTGACCCGGCGCGGATCTCGCCTGGCTCCTTGGTTTACCGAGGAGCTGAGGGAGATGAAGCGCCAGAAAAGACGCCTAGAGAGTAGTTGGAGAGCTAGTCTTTCTGAATCGGACCGGACACTGGTTAGATCCCATATTAGGACTTACCTAGTGGCGATAAAAGCAGCAAAATGTACGCATTTTGCTGCTCTTATTGCGTCATCAGATAATCGCCCGGCCGCCCTGTTTAGGGTGACCCGCTCCCTGCTCCACCAGGAAGCGCGGGAGGACCCCTTGGAGGGAAGAGCCGAGGACTTTGTTCAGTATCTGTATGACAAAATCACTCAGATTCGGGAAGGTCTGGACTCTGATTGGGTAGATCCAGCGAGAGTGACGGAGGCAGGTCTTGAGACTGTTATCTGGGATGAGTTTGATCTTGTGACCCCTGAGGACGTGGACAGGATTCTGGGTAGATTGAACGCGACCACATGTTTGTTGGACCCGTGTCCCTCCTGGTTAGTGCTGGCTTCCCGGGAGGTGACGCGAGGCTGGCTCCAGGGGATTATAAATGCTTCATTGGGTGAGGGTGTCTTCCCCGCCGCCCTTAAGGAGGCGGTGGTGAGGCCCCTCCTCAAGAAGCCTTCCCTGGACCCAGCAATATTGGCTAATTATCGTCCAGTCTCCAACCTTCGTTTTGTGGCGAAGGTTGTTGAGAGTGTGGTTGCGGGACAGTTCCCCCAGTACCTGGATGAAGCGTCGTATCTGGATCCGTTCCAGTCGGGTTTCAGGCCTGGATACAGCACGGAAACGGCATTGGTCGCGTTGGTTGATGATCTCTGGAGGGCTCGGGACAGGGGCTGCTCCTCTGTCCTGGTCCTGTTAGATCTCTCAGCGGCTTTTGATACCATCGACCATGGTATCATGCTGCACCGGTTGGAAGAGTTGGGGGTGGGAGGCACCGTATTAAGGTGGTTCTCCTCCTTTCTCTCCGACCGGTCGCAGTCTGTGTTGACAGGGGGGCAGAGGTCGACCCCGAGGCCCCTCATATGTGGGGTGCCTCAGGGATCAATCCTCTCACCCCTTTTGTTCAACATTTATGTAAAGCCGCTGGGCGAGATCATCCGTGGTTTTGGGGTGAAGTACCATCAGTACGCGGATGACACCCAGCTGTACATCTCCACCCCGGACCACCCCAACAATGCCCTTGAAGTGATGTCCCAGTGCCTGGAGGCCGTACAGATCTGGATGGGGAGGAACAGGCTCAGGCTCAACCCATCCAAGACCGAGTGGCTGTGGTTTCCGACGTCCCGATATAGTCAGCTAGTGCCATCGCTGACTATTGGGGGCGAATCATTGGCCCCCACGGATGGGGCTCGCAACTTGGGTGTCCTCCTGGATTCACGGCTGTCGTTAGAAGAGCATGTGACGGCCGTGTCCGGGAGGATTTTTCATCAGGTTCGCCTGATTCGCCAGTTGCGTCCCTATCTAGATCGGGACTCCCTACACACAGTCACTCATGCCCTCGTTACTTCTCGTCTGGACTACTGCAACGCTCTCTACATGGGGCTCCCCTTGAGGTGCACTCGGAGGCTCCAACTGGCGCAGAGTGCAGCCGCGCGGGTGGTGATGGGAGCGACATGGAGTTCCCATGTGACACCCCTCCTGCGCGAGCTGCACTGGCTCCCGTGGTCTTCTGAGTGCGCTTCAAGGTTCTGGTTATCACCTTTAAAGCGCTCCATGGCTTAGGACCTGGTTATTTACGGGACCGCCTGCTACCACCAATAGCCTCCCACCGGCCAGTACGCTCCCATAGAGAGGGGCTCCTCCGGGTGCCGTCGGCCAAACAATGTCGGCTGTCGGCCCCTAGGGGGAGAGCCTTCTCTGTGGGGGCACCTACGATTTGGAACGAGCTCCCCCCCGGAGATACGTAGGATCCCGGATCTGCGCACCTTCCGCCGCGTGCTTAAGACTTTTCTATTTTATCAAGCTGGCCTGGCCTAAATCTTCCCCCTTTTTAAATGTGGAAATTTTAAATTTTTAAATTTTAAATTCGTCTTATTTATAGGGGTATGGGTAAGGCGTTTTAAATTGGGGAGCCATTTTAGATTTAATTCTGTTTTAAACGTATTTTAAATTGTTTATATTGTATGTTTTTAATTTTGGCTGTTCACCGCCCCGAGTCCTTCGGGAGAGGGGGCGGTATAAAAATCTAATAAAATAAATAAAATAAATAAATAAACGATGGGCCCTTTTATGACTTCTGAGCTTCAACTCCCAGAATTCCTGAACGGGCCATGCTGGGAGTTGAAGTCCACAAGTCATAAAAAGGACCCATCATTCCCCACCTCTGATTCGGGTAATGAAACTGCAAGAAAAAAAATAAACCAAGCACCCTTCATTTCAACCCTGAGCTACAAATACAAACAGTCCTCAATTTACGACCACAATTGAGCCCAAAAAGTGAGAAATTTGTTAAGTGAGTTTCGTCCCGTTTTATGACTTTTCTTAACCACATTTGTTAAGTGAACCATTGCAATTGTTAAATTAGTAATTTGGTTGTTAAGTGAATCTGGTTATTGAAGAAAGGATGAAAGAGAGAGAAAGTCAATGCCACCCCCAAGACCCCCCACTTCCTGCCCAGCTGACCTGTGGTGAGCACTGACTTGCCCCGCAGGCTGACCGCATTCTGGCACTGGGTGGCCGTCCCCAAGTAGTAGTAGAGCAGTGCGTAGAGCCCCAGCAGCAGCGCCACCCCCGCCGTCCATGGCCCGATGTCTGCTGGCCCTGCAGCCCCCCCCCCCTGCTTCCCTTTTACCTGGACGGCCTCCACCCAGCCCCTGTCTGCAGTTACGGCTGCCTGCAGTTCTACCAACCACTCGCTCTCCACTCGCTCCCTCGTCCGGGCCTCTCCTGATGGTCTCCCATCCTGCGTCCAAAGGTGGGGGCGTGTCCCCAGTCACCTGCAGCCTGTTGCCCTTTCGCCCTCCACTCGTCCCTTCCTGGGGAAGGAAGGGAGGGAGGGCGGGAGGGAAGAAAGAAGAAAGCAAGGAAAGAGGAAAAGAAGGAAAGGGATAGGAATGAGAAGGAAAGAGGGAAGGAAGGAAAGTGATAGGAATGAGAAGGAAGGAGGGGAGGAAGGAAGGAAGGTGGTAGGAATAAGAGGAAGGAAGGAAGGAAAGAAGGAGAGAGAGAAGGGAGGGAGGGAGGGAGGGAAGTGTTCTGACCCAGCCTTCTCAAGGCAATGAGAAACCACTTACTCATGAGTAAAAGAACCTCCCCTTTTAAACCAGGGCAGGAAGAGGTCTTTGCCAGAACCAGGTTTGTGGGGAGGAATTAATAAGTTCTGTGTTTGAGGGGCCATCGGAGCCTCCCTGCTGGGAAAGAACCGGGAGTGAATTGGTTGAACTGGGACTGTTTCTGCTCCGCTTAAGCACTGGAGGCCCTGATGAAATCTGGAGTTCTCAGGTGAGCAGAGACGGTTCCTGCCCGGCTTCAGAAGGGGAAAAGACTCTCATTTGGGACCAATTCTCTTGGGTTTCGTCCGTCCAGCGTGAATGAAGACTGTCCCTGCCCTGTTTTTAAAAGGGGGTTGTTTTATCCAAGACTCACTGGTTGCGCATTGCTTGCGAAGGCTGAGTCAGAACACTCTTCTTCATCTTCCTCCCCTCTCCCTCTCTCCCATTTTCCTTCCTTCCTTCTCATTCCTATCACCTTCCTTCCTTCCTTCCTTCCTCTCTCCCCTCCTTCCTCTTCATTCCTATCACCTTCCTTCCTTCCTTCCTCTCTCCCCTCCTTCCTCTTCAGTCCTATCACCTTCCTTCCTTCCTTCCTCTCTCCCCTCCATCCTCTTCATTCCTATCACCTTCCTTCCTTCCTTCCTCTCTCCCCTCCTTCCTCTTCAGTCCTATCACCTTCCTTCCTTCCTTCCTCTCTCCCCTCCATCCTCTTCATTCCTATCACCTTCCTTCCTTCCTTCCTCTCTCCCCTCCTTCCTCTTCAGTCCTATCACCTTCCTTCCTTCCTTCCTCTCTCCCCTCCATCCTCTTCATTCCTATCACCTTCCTTCCTTCCTTCCTCTCTCCCCTCCTTCCTCTTCAGTCCTATTGTTGTAGAAATAAGGAGCTGAAGCACATTCCTGGGTCAGACAGATCTGTTTATTTGCACAAAGATTCAGGGCTATGTTTGAATGTTGCAACCTGAATGAATATGGGTCATTTTTCTATTACTTAAATATGTTTACAAGACAAAGAGTTCCATGAGCCTTTTCCGGCTTCCATATATGGTTACATTAAAAATACATTTCACTTACATTACACTTTACTAATTATCAAACCATTACCTACTACTTAATACAATTATTTTGGCTATACATCTTCACTACTCCATGATTAAACCATTACAACTCTAACTAACCCATCACTTTATGTTTTACAACTGTTCTTTAAAAGCTGTAACGTGTAAATGCAGAAATTATGACTATACTTTTAAACAATAAATAACCTTTTGCATCCCCTGGATCCGTCCAGATGTTCACATTTGATTCTGTTAAGAAGATGTATAGAATCAGAGGGTTGGACACAGGGCCATAGGTCAAGTGATTAGGGGGACATCCATGAACTAATTGCTCAGTTCTATTCACCAAACTCCACTCTTAACTTTTCTGCTGGATGACAGTTGAGCCTCATCAGAAGATATATTTGACTAATAAGGCAGGCCAGCAGCTTTTAGCCAGCACGTACCCTTAAGTGAATAGATGAGCTCATTCAAAGGTTGCTTAGAGTTCATAGGATTTGATCTGACTTTATATATCTGACTTGGAATGATTATTTCTTTTATTCACCTTTTATCTTCTCTTATTTACCTTAATTCCATCTCACTATCACCTTCCTTCCTTCCTTCCTTCCTTTCCTTCTTTCCTTCCTCTCTCCCCTCCTTTCTCTTCATTCCTATCACCTTCCTTCCTTCCTTCCTCTCTCCCCTCCTTCCTCTTCAGTCCTATCACCTTCCTTCCTTCCTTCCTTCCTTCCTTTCCTTCTTTCCTTCCTTTCCTTCCTTCCTTCCTTTCCTTCCTTCCTTCCTTTCCTTCCTTCCTTCCTTCCTCTCTCCCCTCCTTCCTCTTCAGTCCTATCACCTTCTTTCCTTCCTGCCTTCCTTCCTTCCTTCCTTTCCTTCTTTCCTTCCTTTCTTCCTTCCTTCCTTCCTTCCTTCTCAGCCAGGAGGGGGGGCGAGAGAGTGGCTTTCCCACGCGGGGGCGGGGCGGGAGGCAGGGCGACGGGAGTGGCGTCCCGGGGAACGGGATAAAAAGGTGGGGGGGGCTGCGGGGCCAGCGGACATCGGGCCATGGAGGCGTTGGGGGCGCTGGGGGCGGGGGCGGCGCTGCTGCTGGGGCTCTACGCGCTGCTCTACTACTACTTGGGGGCCGCCACCTGGTGCAGGAACGCGGTCAGCCTGCGGGGCAAGACGGTGCTCATCACAGGTCAGCTGGGGGGGGAAGCGGGGGGGGCATTGACACTCTCTCCCTCTCCCTCTCCGGTGTGTCCGCGGAGATGCTTCCAAGCATGCAGAAAAGCCAATTCAGCCCTGGAAGGGAGGCGGGTGGAGCTGGGACCTTTAGCAAATTGGACGGCCCGTTTAACGTTCCTGCAGGGAGATTCCTATGAAGTTCTTGAAACAACAACCGATGCTTTAAGAGCGATTCCACCGGAAAGAGAAGCAGGAGCCTCTAGCACCAGGCTGGGGACCAGGAGACGGGAATTCGGTGTGAAAGCTGGGCAAAGGGGACTCGGATTCACCGCCTCCTGGTGATTGGCCCAAAGTGACCCAGCTTTCCTGCCTGAAAGTCGCTTTTTTCAGTGTCCTTGTAACTTGAACCGGTCTCTGAATGAGCGATTGGAAGTCAAGAACTACCTATGCACGCAGAACAAAATTTGCAGTGAATTGACTGATGGGTTGAGGCAAAGGGACGAGTCAAAGTCCGAAGTGATTGACCGGGAAAATAACTGTTGCAAGAGCTACTGAAATGGACGTGGTCCAGATACGCTTGGACGGATTGTTTTCTTAAGATACAGAAATGGAAGGAAGGTTACCAAAAGTCAATGCTGGCTAGAAATGCAGGGGGTAGAAGGCGGGGTGGGCTAATGCAAGGAATGCTGGCTTGTTGAAAGAGGCGAAAAGAGCTGGCATTGGCCAATGCTTCTCCCTCCCCACTTTGCTATAAGGAGGACAGAATGAGGGGGGGGATTATGGGGAAAATCAGAGCCCGTTGGAGGCTACTTAAAAAAGGGGATTAGGGTTAAGAAAAGGTCCAGGAACCCAACCAAGAACTGGTGAAAAACATAATTGACTAAAAAGCAAATAAGGCCTTTAGTCACAGAGAAAGAGTATTTGTTTATTTATCTGTTTATTTGTATCCCAACATACCCGACATTGCTTCCTCCTATTGTCCCCATAACAACGGCCCTGTGAAGTGGGCTGGGCTGAATCAAAATAAAGTTGGAAGGGACCTTGGAGGTCTTCTAGTCCAACCCCCTGGCTCAAGCAAAAGACTCTATACCCGTGATGGCGAACATAGGCACGCGTGCCAGAGGTGGCACATGAAGCCCTATCCTATCCTATCCTATCCTATCCTATCCTATCCTATCCTATCCTATCCTATCCTATCCTATCCTATCCTATCCTATCCTATCCTATCCTATCCTATCCTATTTATTTATTTATTTATTTATTTATTTATTTATTTATTTATTTATTTATTTATTTAATGAAATTTGTATTCCACCCTATATCCAAGGACTCAGGGCGGCTCACAACAACAGTCGACCAAGCGACTGTCCTATCCTATCTTATCCTATCCTATCCTATCCTATCCTATCCTATCCTATCCTATCCTATTCTGCCTTGCGCTGGAATTAATCAGAGTTGGTTTTACTTTCATCTGTGCCAAAATGATGTATTCAATAAAGTTTTGCATTAAGAGATTGGATCCTCTCGACAGTACTTGCTGGGCTGGGTTCGTCAGTCGGAACCTTGAACAGCGACAGCACAAAAACTGCAGGCACACAGATGCAGTCCCAACTCCTGGATCCCCATCAAAGGCTGGGCGATCTCCATGGATCCTTTCTCTGCCCTTTCCTAGGTGGAAATGCAGGGATTGGGAAGGCCACCGCGGTGGATCTGGCCCGGAGAGGCGCCCGTGTTGTTCTGGCATGCCGCGACAAAGCGAGGGGAGAATCGGCCGTGTACGACATCAGACGGGTAAGCGCCTGCCGTGCGGTTCTCTCTGTCCCTCCGTTCAAAATCCGAACATTGCACATTGCAGACTCTCTGCCATTCCCCACTTGGCCTGTCCTGGTCCTATTCAGGAGGTTCCATATTTTTGGGGGCAGCCTCATTCCTGGAAGTGGTTTTGTTGGATCTGGGTCAGGCAACTGCACAACAACTGTCCAAATGAAATCAGAGACAGTGACTCGAACTTGTAGTTTTATATAAATGAAATATATTTAACATCTATATCTTGAGGCGGTATCTAAGTCTAAGGGCTATTGCTAAATATGGCGCCGTAGACTCGCAATGGATAGATGTTATAATTCGATATCTGAGGGAAGCTAATCATCTAACTGCATCTGTGATCACTGTGATGAGATCATCCCAGCTGCCTTGACATTTCCTAGGAGACATTTTTGGACTAAATTGTTATTGTTTGTTGCTGTCCAGGAATTGTGCAGCAGCTGCCCAGATGAAGTCGGACACACTAACACAAAATTGTGTGTGGATAGATAGATAGATAGATAGATAGATAGATAGATAGATAGATATGAAAGATTATAGAGATATGGATGATAGAGATAGATATAATTCAAATTTATATCAGTCTTTCTCATCATCCAGAAAGAAAGAACACAAGATAATCAGCAACACAGGAACATCATGAGGTAAATCAAACAGCAAACAGAGCCCACAGAAGAAAAAGGCGGGAAAAAAGGGACACTCCCCCTTTACCCCCAGCAACCAATCAGAGCGTAGATTGCCTCATGCAGGAGCCAGCAACCTCCAACCAATCAACTACCACTGTGTGTTCTGGCCATATTTACACCAGCATCAAAATAAGATATTTCTGGGATATAAAATTCTGCTCATGGGCCAGATGCTCATGCTGTTCTAAATTAATGCCTTGGAAGTAGCCTCGAGTGTTTCTGATATAATACCGTGGCAGGATGGCAGCTTTACCCAAGCCAGGAGGAGAAGAGAGGTGGACCACATGGAATATGAAATCTTATTTGAAAAAAATTGATAAAGGCAACTGTTGATTTGATAGACAAGTACAAATGCATCCTTTGCCCAAATCTGAGTATCTTGAATATATTCTGTGCAAATCCTTTTTAAACACAGAAAAGTTCTATGCAAACATTCTAAAAGTAAAACTGCAGCAGCATAAATACTAAGGAATAGAATAGAATAGAATAGAATAGAATAGAATAGAATAGAATAGAGTTGGAAGGGACCTTGGAGGTCTAGTCCAACCCTCTGCTTAGGCAGGAAAGCCTACACCACTTCAGACAAATGATTATCCAACAACCATTTTTGGTACATATTTTTCGGGGCAGCTGTATTCTTGGAAGTTCTGGGTTGGATCTGCGTCATCCATCTTAATCGCTGTTCCTCATATAGACCACGGGTGTCAAACTCGCCACATCTCGTTGCCGTCGTGTGATGTTTCGCGACATTTTCCCCTTTGCGGAGCTGAGGTGGACGTGGGCTGCGTGTGAGGCATCCGGCCCGGGGACTGCCAGTTTGACACCCCTGATCCAGACCGTAAGACCGTAGTATGGTATTACAGAATGGCAGAGTTGGAAGGGACCTTGGAGGTCTTCTAGCCCACCCCTCTGCTCAAGGAGGAGTCTCTGTACCATTTCAGACAAATGGTTCCCCAAACTCTTCTTAAAATCCTCCAGTGATGGAGCCCCCACGACACCTGGAGGCCAGCTCTTCTATTGCGTGATTGTTCTCACCGTCAGGAAATTCTTCCTTGTTTCAAGGCTGCTTCCTTCCTTGATTCTTTTCCATCCTTCGCTTCTGGTCCTGCCCTCAGGTGCTCTTTGGAGAAGAGGTTGAGCCCCTCTTCTTTGGGGCAGCCCATTCATTAAGCAAATCACGGCAGTTGTTAAGCAAATCACATGGTTGTACAATGAATACAGCTCCTCCCATTGACTTTGCTCTTTGGAGGATCACAAACCGTGATCAGATGACCCCGGGGATGTCACCACCATCACCACCGGAAATGACATGGTTGCCAAGCGCCCAAATTTTGATCATGTGACCCCCTGGAGATGCTGCAATGGACAAAAGTGTGAGGACCGGTCATAAATCACTTTTTTCCATTGGCATTGGCATTTTGAAGGGTCACTAAACGAATGGGTATAAGGACTGCCTATATTCTTTTATTACGCACCACCCAGAGAGATTGCCGGGAGAGGAGCAGACCTACGCAGAAGGTGAGTCAACTGGGATCAGCCTTGGAAGCCGCACCGGATCCCGAGGCTCAGGATTCCTTCTGCTCCTTTTCCAGGAAAGTGGGAACTCGGAGGTGATCCTGATGATCCTGGATCTGGGCAGCCTGAACTCCGTCCGAGCTTTTGCGCAGAGCTTCTTAGAATCGGAGCCCCGTCTGGACATCCTCATCAACAACGCAGGTGGGGGCAGAGCAGATCCTCCCCGGGGTCTCCAGAGGGGGAAGGAAGGGGGAAGATTGGCTGGGGGGGTGTTGTCTGGGGATTTCTCTAACCCTGTGAGGTGGGTCTGAGAGAGAGAGAGAGAGAGAGAGAGAGGGAGGGAGGGAGGGAGAGGGGGAGAGAGACTGGCCCAAAGTTACCCAGCGAGCTTTCCTGCCTAAGGTGAGATTTGAACTCATGGCCTTCCATTTTCTAGACTTAACCACTAGACCAGGATGGCGAACCTTTTCGGCATGTGCGTGCACTGGAGTGCCAGAAACCCACAGATAAGCTGGCCAGTGCACATGCGCGCGCTGGCTGGCTGGATTTCCGGCAAGCACATGTGTGCTGGCCAGCTGGTCTTCACACACACCAGAGCACCAGAAACCGGAAAACCAGTTGGCTGGTGCACGCATGCCTGTTTTTTGGCTGTTTTTGGCCCATTTTTCGGGCTGTTTTCTTGCACTTCGGCACCTGCGAAGACTAGCTCCCCGGCGCGCGCGCCCACAGAGATGCGTGCTGGAAACCAGAATAGCAGCTGGCGACGGCACGCGTGCCCACCGGTTCACCATCACAGCACTAGACCAACCTGACAGCTTTACAGGTAGTCCTTGACTTACGACCTTGATGGGGGCTGCCCATTATGGTTGTATGGCATGACAGTGATAAAGCAGGTTGCCCCTATGACCGCTGGGATTTCAAGGACTTGTTTGTGGTGATTTTTAAGTGAACCATTTGTCCACAACGGGTTGCTTTATGCTGAAAATCGAAGAAACTTTGTTTTTTGACAAAAAATGTCATAAATCAGGTGACTGCGGGGCACGTTGCCAAGTGACTAAAATGTGGTCATGTGACACACACACACACCCCGGGGGAACCAAATGGTAAGTACCTTTTGGGTGTCTATTGTAACCTTGAATGATCACAAAGTGACCCGTCGTAAGGCGAGGACTGCATGTAATCTGCTTCCTTTTCCGGCAGGGGTCCTTAAGGATGGCCAAACCTCCGATGGCTTTGACCGGGCCTTCCAGGTCAACCACTTGGGCCATTTCCTGCTGACCCACCTGCTCCTGGACCGGCTGAAGCGCTGCGCCCCGAGCAGGATCGTAATTCTGTCCTCGAGGGCACACATGTATGGGAAGATCGACTTTCGGACCATCCACAAGCCAATGGAGGGAATGTGGGAAGCTCTACGTTCATACGCCAACAGCAAACTAGCCAATATGCTCCACATGAGAGAGTTGGTCAACCAGTTGGAGGGAACCAACGTCACCTGCTACGCGGTTCATCCAGGTGAGTGGAAATTCGGCTCCAAGACACCCCAGATGGAGCCCCCCCCCGGTCTGTTTGGGGCTCTGCCAGGCGTTTCTCTCCCACTGAGGCTCCCTCAACCCCCTCTGAGAGCTCAGATGGGAAGGGAGACGTCTCCTAACTTCCGCGTCCAGAATCCTAGAATCTTAGGGTGGGAGGGGCCTTTGGAGGTTTTCTAGTCCAACCCCCTGCCTAAGCAGGGATTAGGTTTCCCCCAGTCTCTTACTCCTCTTCTGCCTTTTCCGTTCCTTCCTTGCTTCCTCCTCCTTCACCTCCTCTGCTTCTTCTCCTGCTTCTCCTCTTACTCCTCCTCCTCCCTTCCCGTCCTCCTCCTCCTCCTCCTCCTCCTCCCCCTCTTCCCTGCAAACCCCCTCCCTTCTAGCACTGATGATGCTACCTAGTTGAGTAATGAAACGTCTGCAAGAAACATGTTGTCCAAAGAGTGCCACGCTCCATCCCTGGCATATTCTCTCTGCCTTCGATTTCAGGAATTGTTAAAACCGAAATTGCTCGCTCCTATCCCTGGTGGTCACTTTGGTTGGTTTGGTTCGTGAGGCTGTTCATCCGAAATTGCGAAGCTGGGGCTCAGACCTCCATCTACTGCGCCACCGAGGAGGGCATCGAGAGGCTGAGCGGGCGGTATTTCGTGGACTGCCAGCCGAAGGTGCCCAGTCCACCGGCCTGTGATGACCAACTGGCTAAGAAGCTGTGGGAATTCAGCGAGAGGCTGTTGGGACTGACCAGCTAAATATTTCCACTTTAAATTTGACCGCTTAATTTTTCTGAGGTGAAGGCAGGGAAAAACCACATGGAAAAGCACACTCAAAATCACACAAAAATCACATCAGATACCTCTACAGTTAGCACAGGGCTGAATGCTCTCTCCATTGCTCTTCTCAAGCAAGAATCCAAAGAATAAATAATCTTAATCTTACTGTGGTTGGCAGAAAGCCCAGAAGCAATTTGCAGAGAACTAAAACCAAGGCACGGAGAGTGAACGAAGTTGTTCCCTGCAAATTGCTTCAGTCGTCGTCCTTCCTTAAATAGGCTAAGGGAGTCGCCAATTAGCCCCAAGCCTTACTCTTGAGGAGACCTCCCCCTGAGGAGCCACTCCTGCCTTTTGGCAGCTCTGTGCGCCCGTGCATCGAGAAGAGGCTGCTCCTCTTCTTCCTCTTCACCCGTGGAAGCTTCTGGAGGTTCTGAAGGCCCTGGCTGAATCTCCACCTCTGGCACCACACCTTCTCCAGCCTCCTCATTGTCCGACTCGACTGCCAGCTGCACAGGCTGCTGGCACAGCACCACACCAGCCTCCTCGCTGTCGGAATCAGCCACCAGCCACAGGCCGTGTACGGGCCACAACAGGAAGTGACCATGACCGCCACCTGCTCTCTTCAAGTCGCGAGCCCAGGAGAACCCCCCGATTACGCACAGGGTCTGTTTGGGGCAGTGCCACCCCTTCCAAGACCAAAGGCGGCAATTCTCCCTGGGCCATAACCCCCAAACCCAGAGCCACTCGGTCTCGCAAAGGTTCTGTTTACGACGGTTGCAGTGGGCAGGGTCACGTGATCAACATTTGAGATTTTCCCACCAGGCTTCCTACAAGCAGAGTTGAAGGGAGAAGCCGGATTTGCCTAATGACTGCACGATTCGCTTAATGGCTGCAGTGATTCGCTTAACAACCGTGGGAAAAAGGTTGTAAAACGAGACACAACTTAGCAACAGAAATTCTGGTCTCAATTGTGGTACGGTAAGCTGAGAGATCAAACTGCAGGGAAGAGCTGAGACAAACCTTTAAGGGTAAAAAGGTTAAAAAGTGGAAATCCGGAAGAATTTTACTATAAGGTTCTTAAAATGGATTCAACATCTCCATGTATAATACACGAGGGGAATAAAGAAAAGCAAAATCAACAAGAGATTGAAATTCAGGCTAAGCAGATGAAGGTGGAGGTAATGGAAAAACAACAAGTTACAGAGGCCTTTTTGGATGAGCCACTTTTGGATTCTCCTTCAGAGGTTATAGTTGGATTACCTATAAATACAAGAGGCGGCTTTGGATTCTAATGTGATGATTTATCAAGTTACAGACCAACATGGAAATCAATCAGCTGATATAAAAGTCCTAGAAAGGCAACCAGTATGGAGATCTAAGCCACAAGTTAAGAAAAGAAGAAGCAGGTTCTACAAAACTAAAAAAATTTAGACTAAACAACAGTCTAATGCCAGTTACTTAAGAGACGATTAAATATATGAAAATATAGTTGAGGCAAAGTATTGGTTTATACTATTTTGAGGAGAGTGACAGATCTCTGCAGTGCTGTGCTTTTGGGATGTGGAAGATGGCCTTTAATTGAGTGGATCGGAACTTTCTATTTTGGACTCTGACAAATGGATTATGTTTATGTTGAGCTACAAGGCAAGAGAATTATGGGATTGGGGCATGCAGAAGATCTGGTGGTTACCCTAACACGGTGGTTGGAATTAATAATCTAGATGAAAGACATTACAGAAGACATTATATGGAATATAAATATAAAGTCACTCGGGTGGTTTTTTATATATGAAAATATTTATTATTGATGGGGGCAGATGGTAATTGAAGATACCAAATATACTGTTGGAACTAGAATGTGATGTTACCCTAACATGGGTGATCGAATTAACAATCCAGTTGAAAGACATTATAGAAGATATCATATGGAATACAAGCTTAAAGTCATTTGAGGATTTTATTTACATATAGAAATATTTTTTTAGTGGTGTGGGCAGAAGAACAAAAATATTAAAAATATTATGTATGGTAGACCTGTAGGAAAATGGGTGGAGCTGGGTTAGTTTACTGATTGTTTAGTTTAGGAAAAGGGATGTTATGTTATACTAATATACGTAAAAGACTTGAATTAAGAGATATATGTATGGGGGAAGAGGAAATGGGTAGATTATGAGTTGAAATTGCCAAATTAGGATTTATTATATAATTTTACAGCTGAAAGTCGTTCTGAAATGTATAGCATAGGGGGGATATAATAATATTGTTAGAAAGAAAGGGTCAGTATATGGGGGGTGGAGTAAAAGGATGGTAAAGTATTATATAATCTGTTATTAATTTGGGTTTTATTTTGGAGAAGCCACAGGGGGAGGGGAGGGGGGTTAGGGAGGAGGGGGGAAGAAAAGGGGGAAAAATTTGTATTTGAAAAGCTTTTTCAATAAAATAAAAAAAAAAGTGGAAATCCCTGCGGAATTCGTCGTGATGAGGCTGGGGCGAGGATAAGGGAGGGAAAGAGAAATTCCAACAATAGCATTTTTATTTTATTTTATTTTGCCGGCGGAGAAGATGGTGGTATCTCGGAGCAAGTGGGGGTATCTGTGCTAGTCCTTGAATGGGGTGGGTGCTCCCTGAAGTCGGTGGCTTTCTTGCAGACGTTTCACGACCCAACTAGGGAACATCATCAGTGCTAGAAGGGAGTGGGGTTTGTGGAGAAGAGGAAAGGAGGAGGAGGAGGAGGAAGAAAAGGAGGATGGGGATGCTTTTGAGTTTATGGTTTTCTTTCAGATCTTTCATGACCCAACTAGGGAACATCATCAGTGCTAGAAGGGAGGAGGGGGAGACTGGGGGTTCTTGGTGCTCTCTGAGCATGGCTGGCTGAGGAATTCTGGGAGTTGAAGGTTGCCAAGGTCGGCAGATTTCAGGGCAGACTGCAATGGTTTATGTAAGATGCCGGAAGCCGACGGGATGAATCCATAATGGTACCAGATCCAGATATTCCTTTAAGTCCTGGGGATTTTTTACTTCCTTTTGCTTTTCAGTAGAAAACCAGCATTCCTGCCAGCCCAACAGTCCAGGTGGACACTTTTCACCCTGCATTATTAGAATTGTTTTCACCCTGCATTATTAGAATTGTTTTCACCCTGCATTATTAGAATTGTTTTCACCCTGCATTATTAGAATTGTTTTCACCCTGCATTATTAGAATTGTTTTCACCCTGCGTTATTAGAATTATTTTCACCCTGCGTTATTAGAATTATTTTCACCCTGCATTATTAGAATTATTTTCACCCTGCATTATTAGAATTGTTTTCACCCTGCATTATTAGAATTGTTTTCACCCTGCATTATTAGAATTATTTTCACCCTGCATTATTAGAATTATTTTCACCCTGCATTATTAGAATTGTTTTCACCCTGCATTATTAGAATTGTTTTCACCCTGCATTATTAGAATTATTTTCACCCTGCATTATTAGAATTGTTTTCACTCTGCATTATTAAAAATCGTGAAAGGCCGAAGGAAAGATTTGTTCAGAAGGGCACTGTGGCAATTGACTCATACTTACGACGGTTGCAGTGTCCCGGGGTCACGTGATCCCCTTTTGCGACCTTTGGACAAAACCAGAAAACCAGATTCGCTTAACAACGATGTGGCTACCGTAACAATTGCAGTGGTTTACTTAACAACTATGGCAAGAAAGGTTGTAAAATGGGGCAGGACTCACTTAACAACTGCCTTGCTCAGCAATGGAAATTTTGGGCTTAACTGTGGTCATAAGTCGAGGACTAGCTATAATATTAGTCACTAGAATGTACTAGCCCCCCCGAGTCCTGTGTTATCGTGTGCAACAACACAGACACACACTTATATGCACTATTTTAAACAACTCAGGGAACAAACATACCACCATTATGTAATATTATCTATTTGAATCAATTAGCCACCCAACGACTGTGGATTCCGGTGTGCAACACACAGATGCATACAACACACACACGCACACACACAGACACTCCCTTTGCACCATGGCCCACTCACTTCAGCGTTGGGTCTTCCGAAAAATATTTAGAAGTTGCCCCAAGGCTCCCAAAGGGCAACGGATGTTGTGCGAAGGGTTTATTTGGGATCTCCTCATTTATTTATTTATTTATTTATTGGTTCGATTTATATATGCCGCTCTTCTCCGGAGACTCAGGGCGGCTTACAATGCGTTAAGCAATAGCCGTCATACTTTTGCATATACCTGCTTAGTAGGGCTTTCGGGGGCCCCCTAAGCGGTGTTCTTTTTTATGCAAAGTCAGCTTATTGCCCCCACAATCCGGGTCCTCATTTTACCTACGTCGGAAGGATGGAAGGCTGAGTCAACCTTGAGCCTGGTGAGATTCGAACTTGCAGTAATTGCAGGCAGCTGGTGTTACTTAACAGCACTTTAGTAGCACCAGCTGCCTGCAATTACTGCAAGTTCAAATCTCACCAGGCTCAAGGTTGACTCGGCTTTCCATCCTTTCTTCCATCTGGGTCACCCTGGATGGTGCTTCTTTCTATCCCGGGCCCATTCCCACCACCAACTCTCCTTTGCTTTCAGGAGCTGTTAAAACCGAAATCAACCGCTCCTTTCCATGGTGGATATTTTGGTCCCTTTGGTTCATGAGGCTGTTTGTCCGAGATTGTGACGCGGGTGCCCAGACCTCCATCTACTGCGCCACCGAGGAGGGCATCGAGAGGCTGAGCGGGCGGTATTTCGTGGACTGCCAGCCCAATGTGCCCTCGCCACAGGCCCGCGATGACCAGCTGGCCAAGAAGCTCTGGGAATTCAGCGAGAGGCTGCTGGGACTGACCGCTTAAGACGGGAAGGGACCGAGACGGAGTTTGGGGTAACCGAAAGCTGGCATCCCATTAACCCGGGAGATCCAACTGCAGGAGTTGTGGTGTGGCTGAGACAAACGTTGAATTTCTGAGAAGTTTAAAAACAGGAAAGAACGGTGAGGTTTGTTGTGGTGAGCTGGCCGTAAGAATCTTTCAAATAAACAAACCCCATCGAGTCATTGGTCTCTCTTTTCTCACCAGTATTAGAAAGGAGGGGGTTTCCCAAGAGGAGGGGGGAGGAGGAGGAGGAAGGCTGTGGGGTCCTTGGTGCCTTCTGAGCTTGGTGGTTTCCTTGCAGACATTTCATGAGCCATTTAGGTAACATCATCAGTGTTAGAAGGGAGTGGGGTTTCTTGAGAGGAGGGAGGAAGGAAGGAAGAGGAGGAGGAGGAAGAGAAAGAGGAGGGGGAGGAAGGGGAAGGAGAAAAGAGGGGAGGAGGAAGAGGAGGAGGAAGACTGGGGTCCTTGGTGCTCTCTGAGCTTGGTGGTTTCCTTGCAGACATTTCATGACCCATTTAGGTAACATCATCAGTGTTAGAAGGGAGTGGGGTTTCTTGAGAGGAGGGAGGAAGGAAGGAAGAGGAGGAGGAGGAAGAGAAAGAGGAGGGGGAGGAAGGGGAAGGAGAAAAGAGGGGAGGAGGAAGAGGAGGAGGAAGACTGGGGTCCTTGGTGCCGTCTGAGCTTGGTGGTTTCCTTGCAGACATTTCATGACCCATTTAGGTAACATCATCAGTGTTAGAAGGGAGTGGGGTTTGTCCTCTGTGGTTTTCTTCTTGGTGGTTTCTTGATGAGGCTGCTGTTTACTCGGAAGCCGTTCAGGAGATAAGCAGGGAGCAGACCCTGTTCCTTCTAGCACTGACGTGGCTTGCTTCCCAAAACAAGATACTAAAGGTAGTCCTTGACTTACGACCAAGATTGGGACCAGATTTTCCCTGCTCCTAAGCAACCTGGTTGTTAAGTGAGCCATGCCTGGTATTTCAATCCTTTTTTAAAAAATTGATTTATATGCCGCCCTTCTCCGGAGACTCAGGGCGGCTTACAATGCGTTACGCAATAGCCTTCATACAAAAGTATATTTGTACAAAGTACAAAAAGTATATTTATACAAAGTCAGCTTACTGCCCCCACAATCCGGGTCCTCATTTTACCTACCTTAGAAAGGATGGAAGGCTGAGTCAACCTGGAGCCTGGTGAGATTTGAACTTGCAGTAATTGCAGGCAGCTGGTGTTAATAACACTGTTAATAACAGTGCTTTAGTCTGCTGCGCCACCAGAGCTCTTTTCACCCTTGTTGTTAAACAAATCACTGCAGTTCACTGAATCCTGCGGTCAGTAAGTGAATCTGGCTTCCCCCTCTTGACTTGGTTTACCAGAAACCGGCTGGAAAGGTCTGTTCTGTCCCCGTCTCACACACGCACACAAACAGATATCCAGGGGTTAAATAAAACTGGCAGACAACAAATTCTTTCGATAAGAGGATTGGCAGCAACCCAATAGCTGCTTGCCAAGAACTTTACTCATAAAGGGAGGGGTTGTTCCTCCGACAGATAAACCCAAACAAGGTACACACAGTTCAAGAATTGTCAAGTCCAGTCCGTATTAAATCCAAGGCCGATAACGTTGTTTCAAAGATACAATGTGACTCGCTAGTAGTTAGTTTTGTCCGTCACAGAGTCTGAATGGCCACCTCACCCCCTTTTATCCCCTGTGGGGTGTGGTCCAGTGACTCAGTTTAATCTCTGGCACACCTCCTTTTCTGCTGCGTGCCTTGTCTCTCCGACACTGGCGTGGATCCAGCCAAGACTTATCTCCGTCACTGTCCGACTGCGAGGAGATACCTGGCTCCTGGCCAATCTCTTCTCCTTCGGGAGAAGAGGCATTGCCAGAGAGGAGGGTCCTGGAGGGGGAGGCCTGGCCAACTCCTCCCCTTCATGTTCGGAGCCTTCTACCTCCGATAAATCGGCCTCGGGGGTCAGAGTCACAACAAGGTCACAGACCGGTGATCGCATGAGCCCAGGATGCTACAAGCGGTGTAAATACCTGGCGATCGACAAACACTCAGATTTTGATGCTTCATCACCGGAGGGTTTCAAGAAGAGGCTGGACAGCCATGTGTCTGAAACCGTATAGGTGCTGTGGCCCATCGGCTGCCAGCAGAGCTAGCAGCAGAGTCAGGCGAGGGGGAGCCTGGGCCAGCTTCGGAGCCTTCTGGAAGCCTCTGGTGAGGAAGCAGAAGGAGAGAGGCAGATGCAGGGGGGTGGGGGGCTCCATCCGCCCCCAGGGGGAGAGGCAGCTGCCTTTCAGGACTGAGCTGAGTGAGGGGGAGGAGCAGGTGGGGCCCATCCCAAATGCACGTATGGGCGGAGAGGAGAGGAGAGCAACGGAAGGCAATGAGCCGGCTCTCGGGGAACAGAAGGCCTAGCCAGCCCCTCCCTGGCTGGGAAATAAATAGGAGGGGTTTGGGAGAGGCCTTTTGTCCCAGTGTACATCAATC